TCTTGAGTGTATTCTCAGGCCAAAATATGTAAGAAGCTAAGAGATACCAGGCTGTCTTATCTGACATCCTGTGTTTACTTACAGAGGGTCTGTAGAGCTCTTTAGAAAGTTTTTCTTTGATCTTCCTGAAATAATAGTGAGAAAAGGAATTTCTTCTGAGATAAGACAACATCTATGTAACCTATGTAAATGCCAAACTAAGTGACTGTTCTCATTTTCTAAGAGCCTCTGGAGTCACTGTAGAAATACAAGGCATTTGTGTGAACGTGTAGCCAGATGGAGCTGGACCTAAGCATCCATCCCTTGGTAGAGACTGGAAATTAACACATGGCATGCTTTTAACACTTAACTGCTTTGGTAAAGTTCTGAATTAAACACTCAGCTATGTTTTTCAGTAATTGCACGTCTTGACCATGATGTGGAATGGCTTGGTGAAAATTGCAAGACTTTTCTGAATCAGTGTGACCTACTGAGTATTATGGAGCTCATGTGGGGAGAGGATGTAATCAGATGACGTTTTGGAGTTGTTACAGGAAATCATGACTGATGTGTGGAGTTGAAATCCCATACAGGAGTGAGAGAATAGAGAAAATCCTGTGAATTTATGTCTTGAATGTATAGTAGTGTCCAGTAGATTGTTAGTATTCAGTCCAGAGAGAGGAAGGCACAAAGGCACTTATTACCTGAAGGTAATAAATGATATTCTTCAAAGACAGACTTGCTTAAAGCCTTCTGTGCCATTTTGTTCACCCACAGAACAAAGATGAAACGTTCAATAGCCTTCTGATTGTAAACATTAAAAGAGTACAACCAAAGCAGTGTTGGTAAACTGCATGCACTGTATTTGCAGAGGTACTTACTCTACATGTGACAATATTAGGTATTATTTCTTGGCCCTTTTTGAACTCACCTTATTTCTGGGTAGAGCAATGAAAGGAAAGAGAATTTTTATTTATTTATTTATTTGCTCTGATACTGTTTGGAGTCATTTCACACCATTACAGTTTTCAGGCTCTAAGTACCAACTCAGTCAAAATTTACTCAGTTACCAAATAAGTAACTAATTATAACACTTCTTTAACGTTTATATTTTTTTCTAGCTTCAGCATACATTAGCAAAGTGAACATAATACCAAATCTATCAATTAGATAGTTCTTATTTGTCTGAATGTGAAAAGTGACTCTATTGTAAGTTCCCCTTGTCTTAAAAGAACGTTACGTAGCTTTCTTTCATTTCTCATCTTACAAGTCTTAATATAGAGTTCCTACCTTCCTCATCTTTTCTGCTTGATGTGGGTTTGTTTTTAATGTTACCTTTGATGGCCTAAAGTTGCAACAATACAGGACCATCCATTTTTTGCAGCCATTTGTGATCTGCTGTTTTAGGAGGAAGCTGTGATCTTTTCTTTCCCTTTCTACTCCTCTGCAGCAGTAGTTGCCAAACTCTGTCCTCCTTCATCTGCTGACAGCCAAAGGAAAGCTATGATGTATTGCTGCCATAGGGAGGAGGATGGGAAATATCACGTCTGTTGCCATAAGTGCCAATCACCATTCACTGCTGAAATATCTCCTCTCTGATCTGCTCCAAAACAGGGAACAAGGGCTGAATGGAAGGGTCAGGAATCTGAAGATACACACTTTTAACCGTGAGCTAGAACTTTTGTAGTGAGCTAAGTCCCCAGCTCAAAGCCATACCCTCAGCCAGTCGTGTCAAATATTGAACAGCAGGCTCAGTACATCGCTTTCTGTGCATGGACTCCCTCCTATCTGGTGGCAACAGCAATGGGCTGTCTTACTCCAATTTGTAGGAGGGAGAGGAGGCTCTTTTATGTACCTGGCGTGAGATTAAGAAGCAGTGGTTCAAATGTTGGTCCGACCAGTTTATTACAGATCTTAATCAGGGAGATGGGGAAGGGGAGATGGGCAATAGAAAAGATAGGAAATAGAGGGAAGGTGTCTTTGTAGGAAGCAAGAGGGAAATAGTCACCACCATGGATCCAGCATGATTCGTAGTTCAGTCACTGATCTTCAGTAGTGTTCATCAGGTGTTTTTCTGTTGATGATAACAACTTTTCAATGGTACCAACTTATTTATAAGCCCAAAGTGGTTGAGTCAGCTGCCTTTGGAGTGACAGCTCAAATCCGAAGCGTTTGAGTCAGCTCTCCTTGGAGGGTCAGATTCTGGCACTGGGATCTCAGCAGAAACTCCTTTGTTCCCATCTTCCAGGCCTTGCCAGCAGATAAGAGGGAGCAGGGATTCCCACCTGCAATCTGTTTTCACAGGACATGATGGTATCATTCCCCAATTTTCCCATACAGTAGCACCCATCACTTACCTTCTCAATAAGTCAGTTAGAATCTTATCACAAGAAATACCTCAGGAAGCAAGCTTTGAGCCAGAAGACAAAGAATGGTTCTCAGATGGGCAAAGTAATGCATAAGTACTGTTAACAATTTACCTACACCAGGAGTCATTTTGAGGCATTGAGTAATCCCAGTGTGGCTGAGGCTGGAAGAGACCTCTGGAGGTCATCTGGCCCAACCCCTGCTCAAGGGTGGACACCCAGAGCAGTGTGCCCAGGACCATGTCTAAGTGGCTTCAGAAGATCTCCAAGGAGAAAATGACAAAACCTCTATGGGCAGCTGTGCCAGTACTCCATCACCCTCACAGGAGTGCTTCCTGATATTCAGAGGGAACCCCCTATGTTCCAGTTTATTCCTGCTGCTTCTTCTTCTGGCTCTGGGCACCACTGAAAAGAGCCTGGCTCCATGCTCTTTGCACCCTCTATGCAGAGATTTACAAAAATTGGTGAGATTTCCCTGAGCCTCCTCTTCTCCAGGCTGGGCAGTCACAACTCCCTTGGCCTCTCTTTATAGGACTGGTACTCCAGTCCTTCATCATCTTGGTGAATCCCTTGATCACCTTGTTGTAATGTATGCTTCCATTTACATCATTTAGGTAAGAAGTGTTAATATGGGGCATAACATATCTGGAGTAATTGCAACAGAGATGGAAAAAAACCCAAACAATTGATGAATACAATTTAGTAATTTTTGACAAGTTTGTACAAAAGTCTAAAAAAAAAGAAATACAGTTGGAAAGAAAGGTCATCCTTTAGGATTGTGGCGGGTTTTTCTAGGTATTAAAAACTGCCACTCTATAACTGTACGAGATAGTCTGTCATAGTAAACAGTGGAATGTTACAAAAAAATGAACACTTTACCAGCCTCTTTCTATGTCAGAAAATATATACATATGCATTTTCTCATCTGCTTGTGTGAATTTCCTTAAAAATGTTCTTTATTAGAACAGCCTTTATAGTAGTTAGTACATTTCATAGTTTTTCACAGGTATGTGACTTTAAAGCACAAATAGATAAAGTACAAGGTTGCACTTCAGAAATACAGCAATGATATGACTGGGAGGATAAATTTATTTAATTGCAGTATATGCCATTAAAAATCACCACTTTCAGGAGTCACCTTTGGTTATCGTAATATTGCTCTTTATTCAGGCTGGATAAATAACACAGATGTTAGTTGATTTGGTAAATTGTTTATAATCATGCAGCATTTTTAATGCCGAGAGCATCTTACATTGCTTTTAGTGACAATCATTTTGATACTTGTGCACAGCTCTTTCTCTTTTTGCCTTGCTGAAAAGGATCA